AAATCTAAATAAAAACCGTAAATTTAAACATCCAATCTTATCAAATAATATATTTTCTTCTCAAGTAAAGAGCTACCAAACACGATTGAATCCTGATCCATATCCACTGCTCCCCAGTTATTGCTGCACTCCCCGGCGGTGGGTTTAGGCGGTCATGGTTGACGGTATGAGAGAAAAATAAAAAGTAGCTACGAAAATTAGGGTTTTCCAATGATACATAAAGTGTTTAGAAAATAATATATTTATAACCTATCAAGGTCAAACTTTCCACCAATAAGAAAATTCTTTTTTTCCTTAAAATTCATTCTTTAAATTTAAATTTCAGTCCTTTCTCGGAGCAGGTATGCATTCCTAAAATTTCTCTATCTTCTTAGTTATATGTTAATTGCTACAACAACAACTCAGTAATTTTATCTCGCATCAGTTCCCAACAATTCCTACAACATCAGACAAAGTCACAACATCAATGTAGCAAATTCACATAATTAGCCCAAGAAATATCAACTCACTCCCAATAAGAAAATGATGTAAAATATGTTAAAATAAATCTAAATATGATTTTATGCTAAAATACAAGCTTAACCTAAGTAAAAAGGTTTTAAATAATAACTCTTTTGGAGAATTATCACACCCACAAATCTAAGTGTTTTCTTATCCTCAAGTAACTACAATGAAAGAATGCAAATATGCTAAATAGTGCTACCAAGTTAATTCATATTATTAACTCATTTTTTAGTTCTCAGAATTTTTCATCACCACCATAGATGTGGTAGCGTTAACTGATCTCAAATTAGGAATGCATCTTCATCTCACTAAAATTAGAATCCATAGAGTGATGTGGTGTGTAAGCAAGGTATATCCAATCAATACTTAGCTAAATTAGAAAAATTTGATCCTACTCACTTATTTAAACTTTCAAGGCTGTAGCAACATCTTCTAGCTTAATTCATTGTTGGAGCCAGTGTTAGGAACCTCTAATATTTTATTGTCTAAGGCTAAAACCATTGTTGGGCACCTTCATAATTCATGTGTTTCTATTTCATTACTAAATCCAGTGTTAGGTACTTCTAGCATATTAGAAAATCATCATTTTTATCTTTTTTTTACTAGAGCCAATTTTGGGCACCTCTAGTGTTCTTAGAAAAGTTTAAATGTTTGCTATAATACCTACTAATGATGAGAGATTTGTAGGGTTCATCTCTTTATAATTTCTCTAAGTATTGAAAACATACACCTATTGTGTAAAATTTTTCCATGAATCCTAACTCCAATAAGAATCTAACATATTCCCTTAACATTTCACAACATAAATTTTTCATCGTCAAAATTCATCAAATAGAGATTAGAAACTTCATCAACTATGGCAGCATCATATCCTATAAGCAATAGCAATATATAAACAACAATGCAAAACAAATGCAAGTGCAATATTATAAATGGGTAACAAACCCTCAACCCTAAGATGTGCATTGCCCTCTATGAATGCAAAAAATAAAAAATAAAAATTTAAAAAAAATGATAGAGGAGACAACAATTCTCATATGATAATATTGAATATGATATACAGTGTTGGTAGTCTAGAAATCAAGAGATGCTGTGAAACAAAGCAACATGTGGTGGATGATGGTGCAACGATCGATGTGGAAACTTGACTTAAAAAATCTCAAGAGAAAATTGTAAATAAAAATAATTAAAGAAATTCTAATCTAATGCATAAATGACTTATTGAAAGCAAGTAAAAATATGACATTTTGGGATTTCTCCTGGGTCCCAGCAAAATGATACCCCCTTATGCTTGTCGATGGTTGCAGTTACACAATCATGTTGCTCCAAGGCCTTTGTTCTTGTGAGATCAAAACATTGTCTGAAGTAGGACTCTTGCTTAGTGGAAGAATTAATGAATCATACTTCTTCATTATCACCATATAAATGCATGGGTGTGACCGGTTAAATATCTGGAGATGAACTTTTATTATAAGAGTCTTGTGAAACATTCCTTGATGCCTTGGTTACTATTGTATTTTTCTGCACCATCATAGAAGTTTCAATTTTCCTTAGGTTCTCATGCTTTGAATATGTAGGCAACAATAATGGTGAAATTTTTTTGTTAATGCCAGGATCAATGTAGCATCATTGGTTTCCCTCGATTGACATAGTTTCTTCATAGTCCAACTCATCTGATTCTCCTATTGTCGCAACAATATTTAAAAGATCTTCAATGCTCTCACATTCATGTAATTGTTCTTGTATTATTGCTTCGAAAATGTTAATAGTATGGAATTCATCTGCTTCATCGCATTGTAGTGGGATGAACATATTGAATGTACTTTGTTGGTCATTGAGACACAATGTGAGTTCTTCCTTTTCTACATCAGTTAATGTTTGTCTATTAGCAAGGAATGGTCTTCATAGTATAATGGGCACCCTTTTTTTGCTTTATAGTCTAAGATAATGAAAATATACTTGATAGATATATTTGTCCACTAGTACTAGCACAATTTCAATACTGACTTCGGGATGGACAATGGATCAGTTAGCAAGTTGAAGTGTAATTGTTTTAGGTCATTCTTTAAGAATTCCAAGTTTCTTGAAAATAAACAAAGGCATTATGTTAATACTTGAACCTAAGTTACATAAAGCATTACCTATGTATTGATTGCCAATAGAAAAAAAGAATAGTAAAACTCTTTGGGTCTTTCAACTTTGGGGGTAATTTTCTCGTGACAATAGCGCTATGCCTTTCAGTGAGTGCAAAAGTCTCAAAATCACCAATCATAAGTTTCTTAGAAAGAACCTCCTTCATAAATTTAACGTAGTTCGGTGTTTTCTCCAATGCTTCCAACAACGATATGTTAATGCATAAATATCTTAGAACATCAAGAAACTTCTTGAATTATTTTTCATCCTTTCTTTTCTGGAATCTTTGAGGAAAGGGTGGTAGATGTCCAGATGATACAATATTGGTGGTGGTATCACATGCATTACAGAAGGTAATGATGTATACATTGTTGTTGGCAATGACCCAAAATTACTACTCTATTTAGCATCTTTTGCTACAACATCTGGAGCAGATGCTGCTTTACCCCCATCATTGCCTTTTGTTTGTTGTTCCTTCCTCTCATAACCATTCTTTTTAGGCTTCTCAACATACTTTCCAATGTGAAGTCCACTCCTTGTTGTTATTTCCTTGTAATATTCATTGCAACGGCCTTTTTCATGCAGCTATGGATTTTCAGTGTCGCTAGGCAACATTCCTTGCTGCTTGTTGCTCATAGCATGTGCTAGTTGTCCAAACTGATTTTTTAAGGCTCTCAATAAAGATGATTGACTTTCCATATACTCTTTCATTAGAACTTCAAGGGAAGACAAGTTGGAAGCTTGATTAGAATGTTGTCCTTGATAATTCTGGCATTATTATGTATGATGTTGAGGCATCATCTGCTACTGCGGCATCATTTGCTACTGATTGTACTATTATGGTTGATTGTAGTGTTACTGTTGAAAACATTTTGATATTTTGATATAACAAATTAAGTTAAATGAATTTTAATATTTTCCAAAAGATTTTCTAAGTATATTCGATATAATTATTCGAATATCAAAATATTACTCCAAATCTTTCAAATGTCATTTTTAATCCTTACTCAAGTGTAAAATTCAGTTTTAATCTTAAAATAATTTCAAAACAATTGTACAAAATATTTTGAATTATTTCAAAGCCAAAAATTCTAGATTGCTCAGAGGGAACCGATTCCCCCCAAGTGGGTACTGATTCCCCCCTAAATGGTTTGGCTCCAAGAAAAACAGAATGCTCGGAGGGAACCGATTCCCCCTGTTTAACGGTCAAAATATTTAAATTTTACACTTAGGGAACCAATTCCCCATGAGGAGGTACCGATTCCCCCCACGCTCCAAGCTATTTTATTAATTGATTTCACACTAAAACGGCTCTATTGACTCCACTAATCATCCCTAGCGGCTATATACGACTCTAAACACATTCCAAGCTATAAATACAAGCTAAGGACACTTGAAGAAGGAAGAAAACAACTATCCAAGCAATCAAACACAAGAGAAGAGTTTTGCAATCTTATTTCATGTTTCTCTTGTAAATATTTTGTTCTTGTGAACTCAATCTTGTAAACACCTACCTTAGAGAGGTTTTCTTGTTTACATATTTTATCCTTTTGTAAAGGGGAAACGTTCTAGCTTAGCACGTGTAAAAGCTAGGGAAAGGTTCTAGTTTAGCCCGGAAAAACTAGGGAGTTTGTAAGGTTACTCTTTATCCTCAAAAGAAAGAACAAATTAGTGAATTTGTTGGAAAATCCTTGGTGAGGAGCTAAGGTAGTGGACGTAGACTTTGGTTGAGAAAGTCGAACCACTATAAATCGTTGTGCAATTCTCTATCTTTCAATCTTCTTACTCCCTAAACACAAAACCGTTCCGACCCCTCTTTGTAAACCATTCCGATTGTCAATTCGAGCTTCCGAAAATCCTAACAGTTACTACTGTGGATTTACAACATTTTGACTCCTCCAAGATAAATTAGGATGATTGCAGAAATATGTATTGTATGTGTTCCTAAAGGAATGTGCATTATCATTCCTATTGTAGATCTTTACATAGTATACGAACTCGGGGTTTTGTGGGCATTCATCATAATTATTGGCTTCTCCACAATAAACACAAGAGAGTTGAGATGTGGCTTTTACTTTCTATAATCCCCCTAGCTTTTGAAATTCCTTAACCATGTTCGTCAATGCTAAAATTTGGGAAGCCATAGAATTAAAAGCGAAGTATCCACCGCTACAACATAGCATTTTCCAAACATGTTCCTTCTATTGGGGTATTGATAATCGTTGTTAGATATTCTTTCCAGAATATCACATACCTCATTGTATGTCTTGTCTAGCAGCGCTCCATTTGAAGAAGCATCAACCATTATGTAAGTATGCATGTTCAACCCGTTGTAAAATATATCCATTTGTGTCTAATGGGGAAATTCGTGCATTAGACACTTTCGTAGCAACTCCTTAAAACTCTCCTAAGCTTCATATAAAGTTTCTCCATCTAACTTCTTGAATAAAGTTATATCATTTCTTAGCCTGACATTCATGTTGGGAAGATTGAATCGTAGTAGAAATTTTTGTGTGAGCTCATTCTAGGATGCTAAAACATTATGTGGTAGCGACATCAACCAGGCTCTAGCTTTGTATCGTAGTGAGTAAGGAAAAAGCATCAAATTTAAGGCTTATCCTGACACACCTTGTTGGATAAATGAGTTATACACCTATATGAACGCTCGCAAACGTGTCTCAGATCTTCAGTGAGTGAACCATAATATTGTCCCATTAATTGCAGCATCTGGAACATAATCGATTTCAACTCAAAGTTGGCAACCTGGATAGCTGGTCGTACGATGCTGGGATATAAGTCGTTTAGCGTTGGCACAACATGCTCCCTAATAGGCCAATTATGATCATCCATGTTCTAATATTGTTGTTGCTCAACTCCATTGCCAACCGAAAATTCTCCATCATCATCATGTGGTAACAATAACAAAGCATTATGACCATTACCTTGACTAGCCATGTTTGCTCGATTACGATTGGCTTCTCTTCGACAGTGATAGAGTGATCATTCAATTTTAGGATCAAAAGGCTCTAAGTCGTTGTCGCTATGGGACATAAACCAACAACACTAAACTAGGAAAAGAAATAGGTACCTACAAAAAAAGAAACAAATAAGTAAAATAAAACAAATGAAAAAAAAACTCTAATGCAATACCATTGCTCCCTGACAATAGCGCCAAAAACTTGATGCTTAGATAATGTTACAACAATCACGCAAGTATACATATCGTCACCAAGTAATAAAATGGAAGATATAGAGGCTTCGGATGTCGAACCCAAAGAGAGAAAAACATATTACAATAGAGTTGTATGAGAGTATTATAAATATATATGGTTGTAATAGTGAAGTAAGAGGAAAATAGAAAAGTATAAATTCATAATGATAACAACATGGGAATGCTATAGCGAACAGGGGAGCAATTAGACCAATGGACCAAGCAATGTTGTCGTTATCTGGTAGCTTTCAACATAATAATATTGTAACAATATGGTTGTGTCTCATGCAATGATTAACAATTTAATTCTTCCTAGAAATTAATCACTTAACCAACATAATTAACTTTCACCAAATCCATTAATTAAGTTGTCAATTAAAGTATAGAAATCGACAATACAAATATCTTTCCATTAACATTACTCTCATAATAATTGAAACTGTCATGAGTAGCAAGCAATCTCAATATTTCCATATCTAAAAGTTACCAAGATTAAAAAAGCATAAAACTATTTTTATTTCTAAAAACAATCTCCATAAAGATCCTAGCAACATAACTAAAGTTCGATTAATCCTTTCACCCCATATTATATGTATTTGTGTAGGGATCATGTCGCCTCTATGGAGGTCACGAAAAGTTTCTTACAACATCTACATAGGTTGTACTATCTTCTTGAAGCATAGGGCACCAATCTATTGGATGATATGGCATTGTACATATTCCACATAATCTAGCTAGACCTTTTTTACCTACAAGTAAAGATATAACAACGTTAGTTAATTCATCAATCTTATCATCTAAGGAGGGAGTACTTATCTCGAGAACCCATTAAGCCAGGTTCATTGGATGGACGAAATTGTTGTGCGTGGCATCTATAGTTGAAAATAAATTACTGGCCGTATTGGGGTCATGTTCATAAGAGCTCATCTGACTGCTGCGTCGATCATCTTCATATCCAAAGAAAGCACTTCATACAAGTACTGAAAGAGGTCTGTTTTGTTAAACCTTGTTGTGGATAACTGGTGTATAGTTTCTTGAAGCATTTCAGTAGTCACATAATGACTCATTATCCTTCTGTCGAATCCCTAAGATGCTCATCCTTAATTCTCTTACTTTTGCCGTAGGAAAAACTGTCAAGAAACAATTGAGATATATTAGCCATGTATCGATTAAACCATATGGTAAGTAAAATAACTAATTCTTAGCGGTGTCAACTAAGGAAAAAGGGGAAAGCACAAAGTTTGATTTGGTCTTCAGATACTCCCTGTGGTTTCATAATCAAGCAAACCATATGAAACCCCTTAAGATTTTTTGCAGGTTCTCACTCTGTAAGCCATAAAAGGTTGGCAGAAGATGGATTAGTTTTGTCTTTAACTTGAATGGTGTTTCACCATTCAGGAATGTGATGCAAAGCGACTGTTGTTTGTTAGGCGCCACAACTAATTCTTGGATTGTTGGATCAACCATTTGAACTGATTCTTCATCTTTATACGTAAATAATGCTTTGGCTTAAGAGATTTCTCCTGAATACTCTTCTGGTTCAGTTGTTGTTGTTGCCTCCATCTTCAAAGTGTTTCTCCACATAGTCTCTGAGCAAATGCTTCGATTTCAGGTTCGTAGTTTGTTAACTCCATTGGAAGTGATATGGTCATAGATGAAAACAAAAAATGAAATCAATAACTTTTGCTTAAGTCCCCTAACAACAACGCCAATTTGATAATGTTATTTTTCCCAAATAAAATAATTCATATTTCTCAAATAAATAATTGAATAAAGATGGTATAAAGAAATAGGGTCGATCTTCAGGGACTAAGGAAGTCGATAATGTCGAACTTTTTCAATCATAATTTAATGAATAACATAAAAAAGGGGGTTTTAAAACTAAATGAGTAATAAAAAATTATTAGATAAAATAAGAGTAAATTCTGAAGAATGTGATAAGATGAAAAATAGCCTCAACCTTTGCTTTGCCTTAATTTTCAATTGATCATCGAAAAGGATTGTACTTCCGGATACATGTCGGTTATAGCCTATAAGGCCCAACGCTTGCAACTTACTTTTCTCTCCAGTAAACCAATATTCCCAAGTCTATATTCAGAATTTAGTTCTTTTTTAACTAACCATGACTATTTTCGTTAGCACCAATACAACTTTAAGCACTAGAAAAACCCTGACTCAGGTTATGGTGTCTCACTGAGAATCGAACCTGATCTCAATTCCTCTTAGCATAATGCCGCTAAGTTTGTTCATATGAAATTGAATTACGAACCATCAAATCATCCTCCCAACTGTAAATCAAAACACCCTCCAAGTCAACCTTCACTTTTTAAAGTGAAAGAATGGTCGATTTCCAATCCAAGATTTTAAAAAAACGAGAATGTTATCCGAAGTTATTAAGTGCTTTTCAATTCCCATAATAGGAATTGAGTCATCTCAAAAGCCTTTGGCTAAATGAAAATTTAGCTAAGCATGACTAGAATAATACTTAACATTTTTGAAAAATAAAATTAAAGTAAAAAAAAATATGAAAATAGAAAAGAAATTTAATAAAAACCCGAAGAGAACTTAATAAATAAATAAAAAGTATATTCTCAAGCTTCACCCTAAAGGGGTATTTATAGCTTTAAGAGTCGTAAGAGATAAAACATTCAAAAGATAAAAGAAACATTCAAAATAAAATATCCTAATATTAATACAAAGTTTTTATCTCTAAATTCAAAGTTTAAATTTCATAAGATAACTTCGCCTGATCATCTTCCAGAAAGTGCTGACTGGACTGTCTTCTAGAAATTGTTGCTGACTAGATCGTCAAATTCTGCCAAGTAAAAAAATATCGTGGACCATGTCATGCCCACGACTCCTGCCACGATTCTAGAAAATAAAAATTGCAGAATTCACCCATCTATTGCTAGCTTTGGAAAATAAATTATTTTAAGAAAGAACCAAATTTGTAAAATCAAATCAACAATAAGTAGTAATTATCAACAAAATATATGTAATTTTGATCACTTATCAACCACGCATGTTAGAGAACGTTACAAAAAAAAAAATACATATTACAGTGTAACCCTCTTCCTGAACAAGGCATTTCCCTATCGTTGTAGCAACTGTTGCGTCAGATTGTTCATAGAAAACTCGTTGTCCTCCAGTGGGAGATGTTTTGCACTCACCCAGTAAATTATGTTTCAGCGTTGATAAGAGAATTTTATACCAATCTCTATGCGACTGATTTAGATTTTTTTTTGTCAGACTTTCGTGCCATTGGGATGCAATGACAATCAACATGCTGCTCGACATCACCATTGAAAAGGATTAGCATGATGACTTTATCTGAGAAATAAATAAAGGCAAAAGAAAGAAAATGATGAATGAATTATGTATAGATGGTGCCAAATGGACGGGGAGTTCTTTAAAGAACTTCACCATGAACCTTAAATACCTCACTCTTCAAAGATCTATCTACACAACACTACTATTTCGCTGGATCGAATGTGTTTCATGCATTCCATTGTGAAAAAAGATGGCTATAAATGTGGGCACAATTATCCATGATGAGATAGCAAAATTTCCCGATGAAAAGTATAGGGTTCTTACCTTCCCATCCCTTACTATGTCATTGTGTCAAGATTTGGGTGTTAAGCTCTGACCTGATGAGTAGGTTATTGATAAAAAAAAGGCCCCATAAATGAGACATCACTTAATAGAATATCTCGAAACAGTGATAAACCGATATCTCAAAAGGTAAGGAACTGGCTGAGGGCCCCCACATGGAGTTGTCTGATACAACCATGATTTGGGATAAGATTAAAGAAGTTGAAAATTGGGTACAATCTATCGCACCACAGAAAGTAAACTTGCAATCACAGTGAAATATTTGGAGAGCAGGCAAAATCAATTTTACTTATATACCAAAGGTTGTGATGAGGCCAATGTCATCGTATTACGCTCCATTAGTCCCCACCTTGTAACATAATTTCCTGCATTTCCCAACATCATTCAGTACAAAACCTTTTTCGATACCGAAGATGTTCCTGGCAAATCCCACCCAATGGACTCTCCCTTCCGAACCCATCCCCTACTACAGTGCATATCTCCGATGATGAGGAGGACATGGAAGGATATCAGTAGGATAAGGTGCATGAGTTGGATAATTTTCCAACTAAGTTGGACCAAATTGTTCGAAATGTGGTGGGTACAACCAAGTAGGATACTATGGGTGTAATCAGTGGTGTTGATAAGGAGTAAGAGCCAATTGTTGA